AGTAGTACCTTTTTCTTTTTTCAAAGTAAACGTTTCTGGTAACATCTATAAACCTGAAAGGCTGGTCTGGCCAGTCAAAATATTGTTTGAAAAAGTTTCGATTTTATTGCAAAAAGCGCCAAATTTAGGGCGTTTTAAAAAAGACTTAGAAAAAAAAAAAAATTTTATGATAATAGCTGAAATCCCAAAGGCTAACTATTGTTCTTTCTTTTGTTTTCTTTTAACAATGGATGAATGCATAATTAATGTATGGGGTTATACGGAAATCTTGCCGATTATCTTAGCCTAAATTCAAGGCTATTTCGCAGAAAATGTCGGTGTTATAAGCACGTTATATTTAGGTAATATTGCTTAAAGGATAAAGCTTATGTTTTAAATCTTGAGATAATTCTAGGTGTACTCTTCCCTAGACTTATAACCAACCATGTCTGACGAGACTGGTCATGAAAGGCCAGATTCATCAAAGATAAAAACAACAGTGCTACAGGTTATGTTAGTAGCTCCCTGACGGTGTGCGCACCAAATAATAATTCGTGACTGAAAAAATTGCTGTGAAGTTTTTATTGTTTACAAGATCAAAATGATAGGAATGCTATTATTACATGTAAACGTTGTGCACCGTCAGGTCCAAAACAGGAAACAAAAACATGTAACAGAGAGGTATAGCAGGCTTCATAACCATTCCACTGTACTGTGCTTTTCACAAACACAGGAAACTCTAAAGTTAAAAGGCTGCGTTCACAATTGTGTTATTCGTTGCCATCAATCTTGATTACGATCACAAGCAACAAACCTTGAAACACAGAAACGCACAAAACGTGTCAAAATCCACCAATCACAGATCACAAACCATGACCTTTTGAACCCATTTAAGAAAAGGTTCTGTTTCCTAAGAAGTCCTCCAAGATGGTTGACGGCAGAGTAAAATGCAAACATCGATTGGCTTTTGAACTTCAGAGTTTTCTTGTGTTTTTGAGAAGTGCAGTAATAACTATGGTTACAATGAAACATGTACATGTACTTTAAATTAGTGGGCAACAGGCCTTTGTTGGTATCCCCGGGGGGCACTTTAGGAATTTCTGGGTGGGGATGTGCGGCTGGGAC